TTTCTCGAACAAATAGCAGCCGTAGCCAGTTCAAAACCAGAGCGAAAAAAATTAAGCCTTAGGACCATGGCGAGGTATCCAGCGAAATTTTCCACCTATCCCTCATGGTATTGCCGCCATCTAACGACATACCGGCTTTGCCACCGCTCGAATTGCCAGGGGTGGCGTAGGCTGTTATGGAACTGAAATATACCGCAAAAATCAACGATCGGAACCTGCTTCACACTTGCAGGCGGTTGTAGGCGTATCTAAGCTATGCCTAAGCTTAAACCTAAGCCTAAGCAGGCGATGACGAAGAATTGCAAGAAGAGGATACCAGTCAGCAACGGAGTCTTTAGCGGTTCTTAATGGAGAAGGCAGACACCGCACTGTCTAATAAGGCTCCACGGGAACGACACCGAGAGTGTGAGCTCATCATTAAGAATCGGAACATCTCTTCACTTAGAGGGAGGAAACAGGAACTAATTGACGAGGCCGCAAGGTATCGGTAGAGCATAGTTGGACTCTTGGAAATGAAGCGCCCAGTCTCTGCGGGTAGAAACTATTCTACTCAGGTGTCGACTGCAAAACACACACTCAGGCTGGCGTTTGGGGTTTGAGAGAACCTAACCTGCCTGAAAGAATCTTGGCGATCCCTCGAAGCTACAGGTTTAGGCGCCCAGTTTAGGGGGAGATCAGAACTCCTTCCTTGAGGAAGTGGAGTTTGCTCCGTACGAAATTTCGTAGTAGTGATAGCCCTCATTCTGATGGGAGATTTCAGTGCATATGTCGGAGTAGACGCTGAAAGTGGAAAGGCGCGATTGAAAAGAACGGCCCTAACGACCTCAACAGTAACGACATGAAGTTGTCATGGCTTTGTGCAAACAACGGACTGTTCATTATGAACACCCCCTTCGAGCATCGAAGGGTGCATCCGTATATTTTACAAGGGAAGCATGTGCACAGAAGTCGATGATCCATTTGATAGCCGTATCGTATGTCATGGATGTTCGCGTTGAAAGAGGCGCAGAGCTGTCAACCAATCACCACCTTGTTGTTGGCACCCTTCGCTGTAAACGATAAAGCACTATGCGAAGACGTGAAGGCAACAGCAGCAAGAGTTTCATATGGAAAGCATGATCATTTCCGGATACGAGAGCAAAACTTGCAAACGAGTCGTACTACGGTTTAAACAGATCCCAGTGATTACAACCGGAGAACGTTTGGAATCTCTTTGAGAGTAGTTTACTCTAGGTTCCGCAAATATAGTGGTTTAAAACAGGCTGGCTTGAAGCCTGAGGATTAGAAACTACTTCAACATAGACACAAAAGGGTTCAGTTGACTGTAGGCGAGAAAAGGTTGCATGGAAGAAGTGGTTAGAAGAAAAGCCTTCAGCTTACAATGTAGAACGAAGAGGCCCTCAAGGAGGCAGCGAAAAATGATTATGGGAAAAGTTTGGTGAGGCGCTTGGGTCAGAAACAAAGTATTCCGGCAAATTACTGGTGAGTCTGAAATAGAAAAAAAGGATAGTGTAGGAGTCGTTAAGGGTAAGTTCAGTTCAGACGCTCTCTTACCAATGATGAGGATAGTTCAGCGATGAAAAAGGTACCTTGATGAACTCCTTAACCCTGACTGATCCCATTAAGACTTGTCTGAAGAGCAGCAAGCAACAAATATTATTCTTTCAGTAAATGAAATTAACAAAGCTGAAGCATTGAAAGCTGCTATGCTGCTTGGATGGATGAAATTCGCCCTGAGACGTTTTCAAGGCTTTAGGCTGTTCATGTACCGCGAGTCTCTCAAATTGCCATGGCTTAGGGAATACAACAGTGCACTTGAGAACGGTGGAAGTAGCGTTTCTGTTCAGGAATGGAGGCCATAGGGAGTTTTGCAATTATCTGAGCGTTTGCTTTTGAGCCTCCCAGGGAAAGTCTATGCAAATGAGTTAGAAATGAGATACCGCAGAATAAGTAACTCTGAGATACAAGAAGAGCAGCGTAGTTTTACGTCAAAAAACTAGCCCTGGCAGGATCTACGGGACCCGGTCCAGCAGGCTGAGATTATATTTGCAAACGTGGGGATCGCTGACCAATTGCTACCACTCTTCCGGTCACTATTTGTTGATAGCCTCTATTGCGTTAGAGTAGTAGTCGTTAAGCCGAGATGTTTTAGCGTTCACACTAGTCTCTGTCAGAGCGGTGTTGCGTTCCCTCTCCTGCTTGTTTTGTACATGGATAGAATAGTCAAATGCAACCAGGGCGACGAATGCATCACCGTAGGAGATGCGCAGGCGAGAAGTTCGCTGTTTGCAGGCGACATTGTTTTGCCTGCATTTGTGAAGCAGGGTTCACTGGAAGATTCGAAGCCGAGTGCAAATGAACGGCTGAAACGAAAAGCCGGGCACTCGCTCGTTCTCTTGGCTGCTGCTTTGTGAGGAAACAGGGCAGAGCAGTTTTTTTGCGGTGGAGAAGTTCATATGCCTCAGTTTTGCATTTACTGACGATGGTAAGTAGGACGAAAAGGTCAACCGGTGAATTACAATGAACACAAATTGCCTGAACTTGCCAGAACCGTTGTGACTAAGGCAGAGCGCTGAGTCTGAAGAGAAAGCTGCCTGTTTTTGAGTCGATCTTTTTCGTTAAACTCACTTGCAGTCTCGAACCGTGAGGAATTACTAAAAATGCTTTGACCCCGGACCGAAGCGGCTGAAATGGGCTCCCTGAAACAAATCTCTGGAATCACGAATTTCGTCATGGTCCAAACTGGAGATATCCGTGCGATCCTTAACGTACCGCCGGTGCTTCTCCCGACTGAGGAGTCACGCCTGCGATGATTTGAGTATATTTTGCAAGTGCTACGAGGCAGGAAGGCGAAACAGCTACAACTTGCCTAACCGACGGACTGAATACTCAGGGAACGGCCATCAAAGGACGAAGGCAAGTGTCTCGACACCCTCTGCTTCAGATTTAGGTTATGATGTGCCGTAGATGAAGCGCTTGCATAGGAGATATTAGTTACTGTATGACGTAACTACTTCCGCGATCCGAAATCATAAACGGTCGTCTGAACTTATGGACCCCTTTTGTTAGTAATTTACGCAGAGTACAGTACATGTTCTTTCGGCATCTGCTTTCTCCCTTTTGAAAAGTGTCACTTGAATCCCATTCGACCAATGGTTTTTCAGGCGTTCGTTATCCATCATGATAATGCCATGGCCTTTGTTGCGCTTCCATTACCACGAAGACCTGCCGTTTCAACGGGCCGTTCGGATATTTACAGTTGGTAGTTTAAAATCGTTGACGTCACTGCTTTGTTGTAACCGCCTGAATGAATGAACGCCCGCATGTCTGTTTGTAGACCTGTTCTTTGACCGGAACGTGAACAGCCGGTGGAAGGACCGCCGTTCTTAACGACGAGGTACTGACTTATTAAGGGTGAGGCGGTACTCCACCTCCACGAAGAAAACGAGGCATCTAATTTTGGGACTAGCGACGTGATATCATTGATTAACAGGCGATTTATGCGTTTAATTACGCAATCGTGAGCTGAGCGACGAAGGCTAATTTCGCCTAGCCAGCGGTCGACTGCGGAAACCGAGAAAAATAAATTGCCCTGTACGACGCAATTTATTCAATGATTTGCATCATTATCAGAATTAATAGCGCACGTATAAACAGCGTAATAAGCAGAAAATAATTACGACAAAATTCATCAAATGGAAAACGCGATATAAATCAGCGGTTAATGAACTAAATAAAAGCGACACCGTGTGGATGCGTTGTCGTCGTCGTCGTGGAAAACGAAACGATGGCCGTCCGTGTGTCGGTCGAAGTGACATTTTCCAGTCCATCGCCGTTGAGCCATGCCGTCACTAGCGGTCAACAGGGAGGCCGGCACTCGGTCACTCGGTTGAACGAACTCACAGCTGGAAAGACCCAGCTCGCCGCCGGGCTGCCGCGTACATTTCCTTTGAAATTACCCAGATGACGATTTATTTTACTCTGTCCATTTCAGGTACCACGCTGGCAATGAGAAATTTTCACAGCTCAAAACGGACAGGCGACGAAAATCGAAACACGCCTTCGCAGCATTTGCGTGCTGACCATCGAAGCGCCATTATTTAAAATGAATAATTCCGTTCTGAAATAATTGCACCCTTCGAAATTGACGTTGATTAATCTTCCGGAGCTGCTTACGGCCAGACATGGCAGTACTGGCAAAAAGCAGTTGTCATTATCGCGTTACATTGATCAGCGTCATTAGTAACAATTTCTGGTTAGTCATTCAAATTAATAGCCGTAAATGAAATATATGTATTTACATAAAAATAATTAATTATTTGATTATTAATTACGTTATCATTACGTTGCAGTGCGGTCGTTCGATCGATTCATCGATCGATCGTTCGTTGTGTTCTACATCTGCTGCTCTGCACGAACGTGTTTTCATTTGCATAATTACAATTACGTGACATATGCCAGGACCGCCTGATTGTTAATAACTGAAACTATCGGGTGTCACCGTTTGTTTATGTATGTCAAACAATTAATGCGACTCGCGCAATACCTCTCTCTCTCTCTCTAGCTCAATACCTTCTTCCAGTGTACGACGGGTTGCCTGGAGTTTGTGAGGTAATAAGCTAGCCATTGTCCAGCGGCGTTGACCGCCGTCCCTTTTAACGTTCTCTAATAAGCGCTAACAAAGCTTCTGGAAAGTGTCCAGCTATGCACGATGACATCATCGACGGGTAATGGCTACTCAGCGAGTGTAATTGGCAGCACAAAGACACTGTGTTACCGCATCTGTTCTGTACGAAGGTTACAAGTGGCTTTCGGTCCTGACGTTCGCCAGCGAAACGCTTAGTCCAATTACCTGAACAGCATGTGTCCAGCAGAGAAAGGATCGGTAAAGACGAAAACAGGGCTTTTCGTCATCCATCCCTGCCGAACGCCAACCGAGGGCTCGTGAGGTAGGGTGCATTGAGGTTGCACGTATTTGTGCAGATTTGCCGCTAATTGGCACGACCTCGTCCTCACACGCCAGGAGAAAATTCGCCGTCATCACAGCGCCTGTTAGACGAGGCGGCGTTTCCTAATTAGTACGCGCGATAGCGCTAATAAGTTAATGATTCGAATTTCACTAATCCACCGCTGCTGTTGTGTCTTGTGCGTGGGAACCTCGTGCGTCTCATTCAGTTTTAATTTTACATTAAACTCAGCATCGCGGCCACCATCGTTAAGCACAAGTTTTGGACACATGCTCCACTAAATTTGCTCACATAGAGTATTGTCTACGTCTATCTGTACCAGGGAATACTGTATCTCTACCGCAGATCTATTTAAGGATGTTTGTTCATGCCTTGTTTTGCAATTCCAGCATGAATAAATTTTTTCCGTGACTCAAAATGAGCCGGAAAGAACGAAACTCTGAAAGAGGCCTGTAAAACGTACACAGAAACGCCTGTTCTCCGTGTCATTTTGCACAATGACCGGATCGATTCATGAGGGGGACAATCTTGGTGTTGACTACGAAATCCCTTGAGCAAGGATTTTACTCAACCTTGAGTCAAACAAGGGTTACTCGGTCAGCAGAACGTTGGACTCAGAATCGGAAGGTCGTGGGTTAGAACAAATGTAGAGGACACTCACCTTCCTTCCTTCCAAGGTCGATAAATGAGCAAAATGGAAACAGGAGAATACAGACCATTCTTGCCACACAGCTGCTGTCGATTTTGCGTTTAAAAATGAGGCACTAGTGGGTGACGACACGGGAATGGAGATGGGCGATCCCACCATTGAGCTAATAGAAACAATTGTGCTAGAATTGGTCTCGTAAGTGTTGTATTGTGTGTCTGTTGAGCTCGTCATCTTGATCTGTTTACTTAAGTGTACCGTTTTTTGGCTCGTGATGACTTCTGTTTTCGCTGTGTCTCGAAACTTTAGCTTTTAGGCACTATTCACTGCATCGCCGAAGGATATATTACTCTGAAAATACGCATATCTACCTCGATCACTAGCTTCAAGTTGCATGCCGGCTTCCTGGTGGACATCTGCCGAGTTTCGGCTCCCATGCGTGAAACTTACGGGCACGAGTAAGGGATGCATGCTCACACAGTTTGTCTAACAGATCCTATCTACTTTTATTAACCTTCACATCACCTCAGTCACCCACTACCAGAAAACAATAAATAGTCATTTTGTACATGGTCCTGTCGCTTAAATCTCAATGCGGGTCGAAAGCAACCGTCATTCTTTCTCCTTCGCCACAACACCTCTCTCCGTGCCGTAAAAAAACAAAGACCTGAGAAATGCAAGATATACAGAATTTCCGTGGGGAGCGCAACTTCCTTCTTAACCCGAACAGAGGAAAATTTCCCAAAGGCATTCGAGGAGGCTACGGCTCTTCTCCTACTTAACTCTGACTAGATTATGCAATGCCTGCAAATGATACAGCCCAGATACTTCAGCTGGCCAACCCCTATGAAGTGCTTCTCCTCCCTGTTCCAATTGCATATCAGCTGTGCCGGATGAGTTCTTCGCAACTCATTTCTGAGCATAAAAAAGCCGCCAGGAAATAAAACGTTCTTCGGAACTACGAATCAAGTCACGAAAATCTCATCTGCATGTTCTAAGTCAGAAAGATACATTGCCATAGATCTTGAACCGCGCCTTCTCTCTGGAAAGATATCTTTGTTTTTTCCAAAGTCAGAACTCTTTCGACGAAGAAGGTAAAGAACACTGATTAACAGCAAAGGCAAAATACATCGACACGGTGAACTCCGCAAATAATGGGGAACCACACATGAGGTAGTAAGGAATGTCGACATTCCAATGGTTATAAACTTTCCTTTCTCTTATTGGTTGTATAGTTTTAACAGTAACTTCGCCGTTGCCGGTCCCAAGCACGGATGATACAAGAAGAGCACTGGAGACCGTGGCGAAGTTTCCGTGAAACTTAGCCAACTGTTCTTCATTGTATTGACGTCATAGCAAAGTTTACTGACTTGGTCGTAGTCCTGGGTTACCAATGGCTGCGCAGGCTGTTGGGGGGACTGAGGCAGGTTGCGAAAAGTCGGTGATCAGAACCTGCTCACTGCCCTCTGTCAGCAGGGTTCGTAGGCAGCAAAACGACTAAGATATCAGTCAGCAACTGAGAGATGCCCGTTCTGAACGGGGAGGGTAGACAGCGCGATGCCATTGCAGAAAGGGTTCCACGAGAACGACACCGCCGGTGGCAACTTAAGTCGGAAATTGGAATATATTATCACTCAGAGGGAAAGAGAAGGAACTACTTGATGAGGAAGTAACACCAGGACACCAGCGGACTAGCAAATCAGTTGCAGCACCCCTGTTCAAGAACGGAGACCACGCGGATATCTCCAATAATCAGAGCACTAATTTGTTGTGCCTTCAAGGTAAAGTTTCGCAAAGGTGCTCGAATGAAAGTGCCACGGAATAACTGTCGCCAAGATACAAGAAGTACCGTGTAGCTTCATTCACGGCCGAAACAATCTGACCAGATATTCGCCTTAGGTCAGATTATGAAGAAATCGTGGGAGTTCGTCAATCCGGTTCATAGGTGTTGTTTTGAGGACCCAGAGAAAGCATATAACCGGATCCCGCGCAGTAGTGCATGATCATGCCTGCGAACATACGGGATCGATGGCCAGTTGATGGAGCCATCCAATCACCATATGCTAAGACCAGGTGCTGAGTCAGAGAAAATGCCGTCAAGTCCACATCTTTCAGCGTTGGCACTGGTATCCGCCAAGGCTGCATTCTGCCTCCCTGTCCTCATTTGCGTGATGCACGGATAGAATTGTCAGGAATAAGCGTATCGGTGTAGGAGAAAAGAAAGTTGCTGTTTGCGAATGACCTTGATTTATTAGCATCTTCTGAAACTGATCTACGGTGCTCACTGGAAAGGTTGGCTGTCGATTGGAACGTGACCAGTATGCGCATGGACGCATCTGAAACGAAAAGCTTAGTGCTTTCTGATTCTCCTGCCCGTTGCTCTGTTCAGATTAACGTAGAGTCAGTGGAGCAGTTGGAGAAATTCAACTACCTCGGAGCGGTATTTTCTAATGTTGGAAAATTTGAGTAATAGATCGACCTGCGAATTGGAGCAACGAGTGGTGGCCTACGTGAGCTGATCCGATCCATTGTGACGAAAGCAGAGCTCAGTCTGAAAACTAAGCTCTCAATATTCAAGTCGATCTTTATC